TACGCCTGAGCCCTGGTTGAGACCCCCGCGCTCAACCCGCACGTGTTGGCAATCGATAGCGTCTCCATAGTTTGGTTTGGGGGAGGTCGCAGGTTCAACTCCTGCCGGCATCAGCCTCAACCTGGTGGCGTAGCTCAGTGGACAGCGACTTCGGTCACTAGAGCACCCCCGCACAGGTGTTATTGTGTGGCTGCAGACGCACGATACCCTGTGCCAGACGCTGAGACAAAGGTTGGTGGTTCGTGCTGCATACTCACTGGCGCGTTCTCCGGATTGCGTACGCGCAGAATGTCGGACGCGGTCGCGAAGTTGCGCGACGCTGAGAGTGGCGCCGGCGGCGCTGGCAGTGCAACACCGGACCCTCAGAGAGAGGTGACGCAGCAGTGCACGATCGAAGTGCCGGTGCAACAAGAGAACGCTGACGCAGGCGCTAGCGGTGGGGAGCCCGCTGCGCCTGGGAGGAGCGGGACCGACAGTGACTACCGCAGTAAGTGCTGATCAGAATGTGCCAGCGCAACGTCGTGCTGCCTATGCGAAGGCGAGGCGCGCGATTGAGCTTGTGCAGCCCTATACAGACATGATGACGGCCCGTCAAGAGCAGTGTTCCAAAGAGGCGCAAGACAGGCTTCAGTACCTCAACAACTTGTCTGCGCAAGCTGTTGACAACGCAGTGGGCGCCTCTTTTGATCACGCAGCTGTGTACAGCCAGGCCAGTACCGCCATTCGAGAGAGGCGCCTGGCGCAAAAAGACGTAATTGTGTGCGATCGCTATGTAAAAGCTTGGCAGCAATACGCGACCCATTTGCTCGAACAGACAGGTGTGGGAGAAGGTCAATTCCCACTTGAAGAGGACGAGGTAGTCATGCCGTATGAAGGGCCTGAGCCTGAGCATATGGCAGACGTGGTGATGCGGCTGCCGCCCGGCGTGAGCATGGAGGCTGTAGTTGCTGACGCGAAGCGTATCGTCGAGAATACGCCGCTTCCGAGCAGCGTGCAAGTGCCACCTGGCAGGAATGCGGCAGTGCGTCTTGCGCACGTACGTGAACGTGAGAAGCGTTCGGTTCGTTATGCCGACACGACAGTGCGCTTCGCGCCCGCTGCATCTCATGCCTTTTCCCCTTACGCTACCCCCAGTGCATATGACGGACTGCCGGCGCGCGCGGCGCTGCTGCCAAGGGAAACGCAGCCGGGGCCGGGCGTGACGCCGCCAGCAGGGACGCTGGCTAATACGGACATACGCAACGAGAGCGCGAGGGACGCCGCTGAGGTGAGCCCACAGCCGAGGCCACAAAGTGTACAAAGTGTGCGTAGCGGCGACAGTGCGGACGAGAGCACAGCCTCTAAGAGGGAGCAGAAAGTTAAGCTTGACTTGCCTAAGATCAACTGCGACCCTGGCAGTGTTGAGCACTGCATCGAGCTGCGGAACCGTACTGCAGACGCAATCAGACCGAAGATGTCAGAAGAGGAAAGGCGGCTGCGCTACCTGCACAGTCTGGAGCAAAGTAAGTACGTGTCCTTGACGATCACGTCCGCTGACAGCAGGGGGAGGCTGATTGAGATCCCCTTTGCCGAAGGTACGTGCACGCAGATGCAAGAGGCTACGCTGAAAAGGTACGCAGGCGTTGATGCGAGCAATGAAGCCGCGCAGGAACTAATCAACATCGAAGCAAAGGAGGGCGAAGAGCCACGAGCATTCCGTGACCGGCAAGTGCAGCTGCTCATGAGGTTGAGCGCTGACACGAATGGTGCCCTTGCCAAGTCAACGTTGCTGAGCGCCTTCCCTGGAGAGGCACATGAAGTGTACAAGCAAGATGCAAACCCCCTTCACCTGCCTGCCGACCAACTTGTTGCAAAGCTGCAGCGCATGTGGGCAGTGCTCAACAAGAAACTATTTGCAAGTGCAGGTCAAAGTGTGAAGAACGTTGCAGCGACGTGTGCGACATCACAGTGTTACGTCGGTGACGCGAGCGACACTGATGACGATGAATATACGGTCGCTGCCACCACTGCTGTTTGTGCCTCACGTGCCAGGGCACAGTACGGGCGAATGACGGCCGCTGACGTGGAGCGCCTGAGGAGCGTTCCTGGGGCACACGCGGCAAGGTTTGCAGAAGCGCGCAGGCAGCACGCATGCTACTACTGCTGGGAGCCGATAGGCAGCGGCTTCAGAGATCATCAGTGCGCAGAGAAGCGCGTGTTCACGAAGGTATTGATGGCGTCGCTGGATGCCCCGACGCGCAAACGGCGCGCCGACAACAGTGACGGGGCTAGTCAGAGACCTATGGCGCGTCGGCGTCACAGTGACGCTGCGAGCGGCGGTTTCGGTCAAGACGGCCACTACAAGCCGCGCAGAGCTGATGTGAGTCTGTCTGAGCCGCACTCACACTGAGCGAAAGGTGCAAGTTCAAACGGCCTTCACGACGAGCTGCTGTGCAGGATGTGCGCGTATGAGTTGTAGTCAGTGGGCAAGTGTGTACCCTGCAACTACACCTGCGGGTGGCAGCGGGTTCTGAAAAGGTGGGGAAGAGTGTAGGACAGAAGTCCACGACGTCCAACACACAAACAGAGCCATACCTGCAAGCTCAGCAAAAGCGCTATAAGATATATCATGGTACATGATGTTGCATGGCTCTGCTCTACCTCTGTTGCACTGCCATCACGCGTTTTGATGTGCGCTGCGGCGTTGCTGGAGCACCCAAGTCTGGCATGCGCAAAAGGCGCAGACACCATTACGTTTCCAGGAGGTAACTACGAAGTGTATACACTGCAGCAGTGCACACGGTACTGCATGAAAGAGTGCCACTTCTGCTGCTGGCCACATGCAAAGATCAGCGTCAGCAGTGGGCATGTACAAAGGCAAGCTTTGTATTGTGACAGTGAGCACACCCTGCCATACGCCAGATGGCATATAAGTACGCGACGCGGCACGGAGCGATGCTGCATTGCTAAGTGTGCTTGACGCCATGCCTGCAAAGTTCAAGGTGACGCCGCTGAGCGATGCGATCGCATATGTCAAACGCTATGTTTTGCCTGCGAACTTCAAGGTGACCCTGCTCAGAAGCGTGCCCCTGCATGCTGAAGTCAGGAATGCGACGCGCAGCAGAGGCAAGGCTGCCAGTGCACGTCCAAAGCTACGTCAAACAATGACCATGTTTGTGCAACAATGGAAGACAGCCTGCACACGCACCAGAGCGCTGAAGATGGTTGTGCGCGTGTTTCAGCGAGCGCGCGTGGCACTACGCTCTCAAGCTGACAAGAAGGTAAAGATCACAGGCAGCTGAGAAGCTTGAAGAGGCCAGCGGTGATGCAGTAAGAAACCTCCTGTGAGCGCATGGTGCATAGTGCCACCAGTTGTACGTGAAGACTGAAATACGCAGTGGCAAGGTCAGAGCGACATGCACCGAACACTACGTGAAGCCGTGGGTTCGGGTCCTGCTTAAAAGATCGCCCTTCATGGATGAGTACGTGCCAGTGCCGTCAAGGCAAACTGCGAGCCAATGGAGCGGCGCAAGAGAGAGCGGCGCCCTCAGGACGAAGTTAAGCGTAGTTCCGCGCTGCGCCGCAGGGCGAGTGCGATGGTCATTCCGTGTTGCGCTTTGTAGCGTGCACGAAGGCTGCGACGCCCTAAGCTAGTTAGAGGGTTCCGTTTTCCTGCCGGCCCACCGGAAGGTTTTTTACCGGACCCCGCAGCTCTCTGTTCGAAGGGGGGAGTTGACGTAGTTAGGGGGCTAAGCCCTAGTTTCAGTCTGGCAAGTTCAAGTCCCAGGCGGAGAGTCACCGCCACAGCCCATCTCTAAATATACGATCACTCTCAGTCCCAGCCACAGCAAGCACAGCTGTTGTGGTCCCACCACCACCCAATCAACAAGTGTCGGCCTTCCTGCTGCATTGCTGTTCGCCTGCGACGCCCCAGCTACGTCAATACATTCTCCTGTTTTACGCCCCAGCGGCTAAGACCTAGGCTTTTCAAGCTTAGGGACTAAGTAGGCTTCAAGTTTTCAAGCCTAGGGACTAGGCTTTTCGAGCCTAGGGACTAGGCTTTTCAAGCCTAGAGACTGTCTTACGCCCCAGCGGCTAAGACCTAGGCCTCGTCAAGACTAGGAATAGGTCCATTGTAAGGTACTCGTCGCCGCACACCGGCTCCTCACTTACACTGTCTGGAAGACTGGCGGGAACATGCAGCCAAGGCGACGAAGAGTAAGTAAAAGGAACACCCACCCACCACTCCCAATCATGTTCAGGGTGCGCGCGAAACCTATTTGGCCTTTGCCGAAACCAGTTCGGCAACATGTCTGGAACTGCCGGAACTCGCCGGAACCGGCGGAACTCATTTTGAGGCGAAGGGGCCCCACTAGGGTGTATTGTCGTCGTTGTATGCATGGCAGAAGTGTATTTGCAAACATTACGCTTCAAACTGCTATGACGGCAGTTTGGTCATTGCTGTCAGTAGTCATCGCACCTCGTTTCACCCCCCCCCTTACCCCCCGCCCCCCCCTCCCCCTGGGCCCTAATTCTAGCCCTAACCCTAGGGCACCAGCAGGTCACCAGTTGTGACACCAGAGCCTTGAGAAGCAGTAAAACTTCTGCCACCATGTGGATAAGACATCCGATAATGCTACAGGGCTGCAAGTAGTGCTAAAAGCCCAGAAATGAGTGTTTTACATGTATTTGAGTTCCGGCAGTTCCGGCACCCCCTGCTGACGCCTTCGGCGCCGGAACCGCCGGAACTAAAGGGCGGAACCTGAGGTTACGCAACCTCGCTCGAGGGTGGTTTCGGCGCTCACCCTGATGATATTTTGGGTCAAGGTAGGGGGAGGGCAGTGAGGGAGCAAAGTGGGGGGTTCTCTGTGAAATGGGGGCCAAAAGTGGCCCTTCAGGGTCGGAGGTTAGGAACAGGTCTTCACTTCCCCTCTGCAGAAATAACATTGTTTGTAAACAATATCTTGAAAAGTCAACGTGTCATGATTACCAAAAACAAAATTTGAGACGAAAAGGAAAGTCGCTTCCGGCAGGGATCGAACCTGCGACCTAGCGATTAACAGTCGCTCGCTCTGCCAACGGAGCTCCGGAAGCTGATGAATGCTTCGCAATCAGTCAAAATCTGAGCCTCATTTGCCGGAGCCATCACCTCGCTCTGAGAAAGTCTTGAACTCATGGCGTGAATGAGCAATGCATCGAAGATGATGCTGAATAATTGTCACCAGGATGCTGAATAATTGCCACCAGTCATGGTAGCTTGTCCGGACATGAGCTCGACGCAACGCAAACAGAGCGTACCACCCTGCGCAGCCTGCTGCCGCTGGAGCCTGCAGCAGCGACCTGCAAAGCAGACGCCCCCTATGAGATCCTGCAGCAGAATGGCAGCAAAACGGACACTCAACAGAGTGGCTGCAGGAGAGATTGGGGCACGGCTTTGGCGGCCCTGAGGCCATGGCACTGCAGCGGCAGTGGGCCACGCCGCAAGGCCAGCTCTTGGGCCTCATTGCTGTCAGTGACGACGACCTGTCCGGTGTCCGCCAATTTGGGGCAGAATGGGCTGCTTCAGAATCTGTAGAGGCCAGCGGTGCTGACATGCGGGCATCCGCCTGGTGGACCTGGCAGACTGTCAGTGAGTGTCGGTGTTCCAGCAGCCACCGACAGCACAGTATCGCAGCCGCATAGCAGCCCGCCTCAACTCTTGCCGCCACCGCAGCGCGACGAAGGCTGCCCGGCATCCGCGCGACGCACCCATCTGTGCCTCTGTGACTGTGCAAGTTGGGCACACCAGCGACGCCGCTGCAGCGGACCAGGGCATTTTACCGTTCTATGGCGGAGCAGCTGCTGCCCGTCTTGTCTAACTTAAAGGTGAGGGCAAGCCAACAATTGGCGTGACACTGTGCCAGATTGTGTGCACACAAACGGTCAATTTGTCAGACAATGAATGTCATTGCTTTTTGCTTGCATGCTTCGAAGTTTCGTCAATGATTGCGGTTTGGAAAGCGCTGCTGTCCCGCGGCTGCATGGACGCACTGTGGCACACTAAGTCACTTTTTGCTGGACGGTCCAGGTGCACTATGGAGTGGCACACTGTGCGCGCGCACGGGTCAGCGACACACTGGCGCACGCGGCGCGCCGATGTGGCGTGCCGTCACAATAGTCCTCTGCGGCAGCCCCTGCCAGTGGCCTCAGGCTTCCAGCCAGGCTGCCTGGCAGGCGCCGACTCCGAGATCTCAGGCTCCATCGACGATGGTCAGCGCGAGCTGGACCTGCAGTCACTACTAGTAGTACTTAGTCTAGTACGGTAGCACCTCAACATCATATGATGGAGGGCCTGCCAGTGGTCGCGCTGCTGCTGACTCCTGCCAGTGGCGGTCTCGCACTGGTGCGCCCAACAGTCACAGAGGCACCGTGTGACAGTTGGGTGCGTCCTGCAGCTGCCGGGCAGCCTGCGTCGCGCTGGGGTGTCGGTAGGAAATGAGGCAGGCCGCGATGTGGCTGCCGCAGCGGTCACCGGTGCTGCGCTGGCGGTGGCTGCTGGACCACCGACACTCAGTCTGCCAGGTCCACCAGGCGGGTGCCCGCATGTCAGCACCGCTGGTCTCAGAGGCTCTACAGATCCTGAAGCAGCCCATTCTGCCCCAAACTGGCGGACACCGGACAGGTCGTCCGAGTCGTCAGCAATGAGGCCCAGGAGGCGCTGACCTAATGGTGTGGCCCACTGCCGCTGCAGTGCCACTGGCATCAGGGCCTCCGCCAATTCTGTGCCCCAATCGTTCCTGCAGCCACTCTGTCTGAGTGTCCGTTTTGCTGCCATTCTGCTGCTGCAGGACCTCTGAGTCATACTATGCGTCTGCTTTGAGCTGCTGCAGGCGAGTCATCTGTGCAGCAGCAGCCTGAGGTCGCTGCAGCATATAAATGATTGATTTCAATAATTCAATGGACTGAATTGCGAAAACAGGACCTGAATAGGGAAAACGGGACTCAGCATCAGACCACTTTCAACGGTTTCAAGCCAATTGGCGAAGTCTCAGACTGGTTGAACCGGTGACCCTGCCAGCGTTCGCTACTGAATTTCAACATGATCATAATGAAGTTGAGGTCATCAGGTGAAAAGACTGGTGTTGAAGTAGATTATGATTCCATGATAAGCACTGAGCACTTGTCAAATTTCAATTTGGAGTTGCATTTAGTTATTGAGCCAAACTTCAAAATTGAGTTTAATGTTCAAAGTCCAAGTTCAACATGGATACCTCAAAGATCCTGAGCATAACAAACAATTTTTGCTACATTATTCATTTCTGGGCCTGATTATTGGTCACATCCACATCATCACAAGTGAGAGAAGCCCTTTCAACTGCAGAGTTCACAGTGTCACGTAAGGGTCCCGTTTTGGATAGAGTCAGATCCTGTTTTTTGCAATTGAAACAAGCAGCGGCCGAGGCTCCAGCGGCTGCAGCAGAGCCTGCTGCTGCTGAGAGCTGCTGCTGTAACAGTTGCTGCATCCGAGATTCTTCAAAAAGACAAAGCGCAACGTCATCCGCACATTGTCAAGTTGAACTTCTGGACTTTTGCACATTGTCAACTGCCATTTGACAGACAAGTCTCACAGAGCAGGTGAAGCACTGCAAGACACTATAGGTGGTGCACAGCGATGATGTAGATCGATGTGGCTGCTGAGCAAGTGCTGCGATTATTGGCGCATCACATTCAAGTTGGACAACTGGCGATCTAGCATAGGGTGCGGGCACAGCTGCTACAGCAGCAGCTGAACTTCTGCTGTAGGAGCTGGTTGCTGACACAGTGTCTGCTCTGAGGTGCGGGAACTGGTGCGCTTGGCAATGCATAACATAATATTTGTCGATGTGGATGAGAAGCCAGTGCAGATTGTCTCATCAAGCTGCTGTTGTGAACTGCTTTCATGAGCTCCGGAAGCTCCATGTGTTGAGTATATTCACTGGCAGTCAAAAATGTGTTGAGCATAGAAAATTATCAATCAGCCTCATTCACAAGTTTGCCATTGCCAATGGTTCATCACCCAAGCAAAGGCGGCAAAGTCTTTGGAACTCATTGCATGAGTATTGGGAAAACCTGACAAATGAGTAAATTAAATGCATTGGAAAATCATAAATATTGATTACACGATGACGATGAATAAGTGCCACATGCCGCCCGTCATGGTAGCTGGTCCGGATATGAGCTCGACGCAACACAGACAAAGTTTGCAGACCAAGTTCGACCTAAGTTCGGCGACTTGCCACTCTTGAGTATCTTCCGTGATGACAATGTCATGAGCAACGCTGGCCACTGTCATTGGCAGGCGGACAACAGCAGATGACATGCCAAACGCCACTTAACTCCCTTGCACTCTGGCATGTTCTTAGACACTGTCAGTCAGGGTAAGCTTAAGTTTGGGACTACATCTGATTCAGCAGCTGTATCAACTGGTAGTACCTGAAAGCATTGTAGTTGATTGTAAAGGTCAGGTCTTACTAAACGATATAGTATCCCCTCTTTAAGCAATACACTGAATACATATCATAATTGAATTTGTTACAAGTGGGCTTGTCCGTCCGGTAGAGACACATGCGGGTGATATACCAGAACGTGCTGTCATAGCATTGATGAGAGGGTTTTCCATGATGGCACAATCTTGTGGGGGCACCATATCTTGCACCATGACAGCACGTGCTACTATCAGAGCTTTGCAACGTGCGTTGGCACTTGTGTAACCTTTTCAATTTCAGGAACATCTCACCGAGGGCGCCAACACACTCAGTCACGGCTTTGTTGAATGGGCTACTTCTGCATCTAACTTTGCGACAAATCAAGCGCGTCAACTGCTGTCAGACAAGGCCATGCTCGCGAATCACATTCGAATGTATTATAATATAAATATCCGCAGCTGCCATCATGATGACGGTGGCCCAGTTGGCATTGTAGAAGTACTGAAGAACCTGTGATTGACAGCCCCGTAATTTCAAGTGTTGGTGGTGGGACCTATTGTCATGTTCAAAAAGCTACAAGCGGGCGGGACCTCACTCGGAGGCCCAGTGTTCCAGGCTTAAGAAACATCTACTGTACAATGGGGGGCAGACACAGCAGCAGCCTGCCTGGGGCAGACACAGCGGCACCCAGTCTGAGCCACACCTATCGCAGCCATTGTCGTCATGGTTAAGCGACACCGCTGGAGAACTGCGGTATTGATATAGGACTTAACGGGCCAGGGGCGCCTGGATCTTGATTTCTTGCAGAAGCGCACCACTGACGCGGCTGACCAAGGCTCTCTTTCTTGCGTGTTCGAGCAAATCAGCTGCAGTGTGCCCTGATGCTATCTGCACTGCCAATTCCAGCTAACTCTCTCCTTCCTGCCGCACATCACCATCAGTGCCATCCGCGACGCTGCCACACCGCTCGGCGCTCAACAGCAAAGGGCAGTCCTCGACCAGCACTTGGACTCCAGGGGCAAGGATTGCGCGTGTGTCAAGGTGCTTGTCGCAGTGGCTTTAGACAGTCCAGCACACCTGAATCTCATCAAGGTACTTGCATATGGCGTACTTTGTAACATCTCAACGCGAAGTTTGCAGCTTCAGGTCATACACTCACCTATGCCGCCGCCGCCGCACTGCGTCTCTGTCCGCAGGCGGAAAATGCCACACCCCCTCCCCAAACTCCCCAGCATACGCCCAGCCCGCCTCAGGATCGCACCCTCCGCCCCCCGCATTCCACTCCACATCTGCCGACCAGGCACCTCCGGGTGTTGTCCAGACCCAGCCTAGCGGTGGCGGCGCGGCTTTTGGCAGCGCAACAGAGCCGTTGAGGCCGTCGGTTTGGCAGAAGGGGGGGGGGTCGCGAGGGCGCAGCTTTCCGTGCCAGCCCTTGAAGGGGGCTTTGCGCTGGTTCTCAAAGATGAACTCCGTGACCTCCATATTTGATCGCTTCCTGCTGATGCGTCAGGGGGTCGATAGACTTTTGTGAACAATTGCAACCTCTCCAAGCTGATTGAACGGTGCCTTGCAGGGTGAGTCAAACATTTGAAGGAGCCGTGTATGTACTACACCATTGGTGGTCATCATTAGTCCGGTGTTTTTTCATTA